ACATAACTCACCATCACTTCGATTGCTTGCGATCTCACGCATGGCTAGTCGTTATGAGGAAGCCTGAGGCCGCCCGACATTTATACGATGTCTACCTCGCGTTGCCTACAAATGTTCTGTGACATTTGGTTATGGGTCAGACACCCAACGGCCGTCGCATGAATCTTTGTTCTGAATTTGTCGATCCAATTTTTTTGGCGGTGTACGACGGGTGTGAAGGAGGACGCGTCCTAGCATGATTTAGGCGGGCACAAGGAACGGTTCGACGACCGTGGATCATAGGAATCTGCCGGGATCCGAACTTGCCAGAAACCAAATCCACGACGAACTGGTTATTCGTTGGTTGCTGTGAACCGGTTCCGGAACTCGAAAGTTCATCGGGATCCAAACTTTGGGGTTCCGGGTTGCACCAGGAACCTGTTTACGGTCGGCTGCATCGACTAGACTGTTGGACTAAAGCACGCCCTCACAAAACGGCGCACTGTGTGCCACTTAGCAACACTTAGCAGTGATTTGTAGGATCGACATAAATAAGAATAAATCGAAACAATCACTGCTCAGTGTTGCTAAGTGGGCCACGATGCGCCGTTTTGTGAGGGGAGCACCCGCAAATAGCCTTTCTTCCGTGCGTGCTCTGGTCCAACAGTCTAGTCGACTCCAAGCAGTTTGTAGGGGTCACTTGGAGGCCACGGTGCGCCATCGCTTGGACTACTCAACCCATCAACCTCCAACTTGTTACTGAGCCTATGACATTTACTGCGTCGACCGTTAGCGCCCCCCCCCCCCCCCCCCCCCCCACCCAACCCCAACCACCCCAGCACACCAACGGTGACCAACCCCCTTCAAATCACTGTGACATCGAATTTCTCCCTTGTTGGCTATTTTCAAGGTAGCCTTTTGGAGCGGCCGCTCTGCAACTCAGAATAAACTCCAGGTTTGTTCGAGTGCTCCGGGCCCATCAACGTGCAACTTGTATGCTTCTTAAAATATTTCTTAGTCGGACGTTGGTCCTGGGCCTGGATTCGAGGTCGTAGTCCAAAACATCCCAGGTCCTAGACTCTGCGTGGAAGGGATTACCCCCCGCACAGAGCCTACTTACCCTGCCCACCGAGACACACGGCCTAAAGGCCTGAGGTGTCGCAGGGGCCGCACGACTGTTCCTTCAGCCGTGCAATATTGTGAAGGGGTTGACCCTCACGATACTTCAAGATCGACACTTGAGTGTCATGAGCTGTACCCGGATCCACGAGGGGCCGCTTGATTATGGGCACTACATAGTACGCCATCATTGCGACTGCTTGCGTGCACATGCATTGGGAGTCGATATGAGATAGTCTTGCGCCCGCGCGGTTTTATACGAAGTCTCTCGAGTGTCGCCTATCCGATTTCCGCGTCGGAAAGTTATGGGATGGCTAATGAAGGGACTAGGAGTGTTGTCGCGTTGTTGTTATGTTGTTTTATGTTGTTTCGTGTGTGTGTGTGTGTGTTTTATTTTTATGTTCGTAGTGTGGTGTACGCGTAGTGAGCTGGATACATCCTAGTCGACCGACGTCGAATCGCGCCTCAGACTTCAGCCCCGCCCAAGGCACCAGTTCGTGTGCGGGTCCGATAGAGGCGTGGGACTGTGCGTACCCCCTATGCTACAGCGAACGAGAAACGCCCTCAGCTGGTCCACCTCTGCGATTGCAACTGATTAGCTTTCGTACTGTGGACTGGTAGCTCGGCGGGGATACGCCCACCGAAGGGTGGTGACCGCTCCTGTAAGGTGGAGGTAAGTCGCGCCTCACCTAGGCCCTATCCTGTCGTAGGGGCTCGCAAGATGTATGGCTGGCGCACTCGGCGGGAGCGGCTTGCGGAAGGTCCATATGTATTCGTGACGAGGATTAAGACAAACTCCTGCGTGACGCGGCCGGGAGGGTCCCGCGCTGCTTCGTGCGGTGCTGGACCGATGCGCTCGACAACATCACAGACCCCAAAAATTGGACGCTCTAAGCGGGTCATTAATTTTTGCGAGCAAAGGTAGAGGACAGAATCTTAAACTACGAGTTAATTCCCAAATGCTTTCGCACACTTAGTCGTTGGAAGAGGTGAGTAGGGGCTGTAAGCGGGATAGAAATGTCACACACAGAGTCATTGGAGGAGGTCAGGAGGCGCTGTAAGTGGGATAGTAATGACTACCAGCAAAGCTGAAGGAGGACGCAATTCCAAACTCGAAAAAATTCCTTATACAAGACTCTGAGGACCTTGCCCGCACCGAGCCTGACAAATGTGATACATCGTACAGTTCTCACTCGCGCAGATGTGAGTCTTAGCAATTCTGGTGCATCTTTTCCCATCAATACGGCAGTTGAGCGCGAAATGAAATCAATGTGCAGGGGTAAGGTGTTACATATTTTCAAGGTCTAGCATCCGACGCAATATAAAGGCGAGTGAAAACTCACGCTAAAGGTGCCAACGATTATTAACGATCATCACCGCATTATATGAGATTGCAACTGGATTCGCTCACCCATGGCATACCCGTTGTCCACCCCTTTTAGCAAAAAGGTTTGGGCATCGGGAATTACAACAGCGACGACGACGACTGCACATCAAAAGTTTTTGCAACCCTTATAGCGATACGTTAAGGTGTCGTGCACCCCTTTTATCGATATGTTAAGGCGTCGAAAATCACAAAAGACTAAAAGCGACCACGTCTACTGATGCTTTGATAGTCCGATAATGGATGTGAAGGTAACGCCACCGTTATTGTGAAGGTGCGACAAAGGTTGCTTCTGGATTTCGAAGCGGTAGTCGTAAGAGGTGAGGAGGCGTTCTAAGCGAGTCATAAATTCCCTTCAGTTAAGGTAGAGGAGGGAATCTTAAACTACGAATTAATTCGCAATCATCCTTTCGCACAGTGAGGTGTCGGAAAAGGTGAGGAGGCGCTTTAAACCACCACTTCCTCCGACAACAGGAAATAGCCCCCACTGTTAGTTCCGGCGGGTTCTTAGGGATGGCGGCGACCGGAGGCGGAAACACGGGGGGGGGGAAGAGAGAGAGAGAGAGAGAGAGAGAGAGAGAGAGAGAGAGAGAGAGAGAGAGAGAGACCGAGTTCCTTGCTTTAACCCGGAAAGGCATTGAAAGATACTAGTTGAACAGTGAATCAATTCGCAGTTATCGGTGTTCGATAAAACACCTTAAGGAAGTGTCAAACAGTCATTGGCTCTCTGTGTGGATTGCCAAAAGCACTCTCAGGGAACCTTGGTGCCAGGTTGAAGTTATGTCGTGACCTGTTTGGTGACTGAACACCTTCAAGAATTGTCAAACAGTTATTGGTTGTCTGCGCGGATTGCCATTAGTACTCTTAGGGAACGTTGATGATGGTTGTGGATTTGTTTCCCGCAGGTTGTCAGTTTTTGGGCAGTCTTTGAAGCTGAAGTCCGCCACTCGGGCTAGTTTGGAGGATATGTGGTTGACCTTCCTGTTGGACCTGGATCTGTTTCGAGCAGAGTTTTGCACTCCACAAACAGAATCGAACTTCAGGTCCCGCAGGTTGCTAGTTGTTGGGAAGTCTTTGATGCTCAATCGCAGTTGTTGGGAAGTCGGGCCTGGTCTCGCAATTTGACAGCGACAACGCGCTTAGAAGAACTCACAAAAAATTTCGAAAATTTTAGGCTTCGTAGATTTGCTCGTGATCTTTCCAAAAAAAATATCAAAAATTTGAAGGAAGCACTTGTAGTATGCCGACCTTGCCAAGATGGAGGAGCCAATTTCACATTCGGCAAGACATGACTGAAATGACAATCTTTTTCATGATTTATCCATTTTTTCAATAAGACAAAATGCCTTTAAATAAAATATCATTTTTTGCGAACTTGCATAAATGATCAGTCTTTCAGTGACAACACAAACGGTAACAATTTTGGTCAATCATCCATTTTGGCGAATGCCTCATATCGATCCTTCAGCGACAAACAACGTCGAAGCACATGGGTCAAGCACACATACATTCTGGCGATAGCACAATTGATGATCTACTGCGGATTGAGTTTAACGTCGTCGATGGGAACAAATCTACCTTTCGGCTCATATCATATGACTGGTTCTTCCACATGTACTTACCTGGTTACCTGACTCCATGCATTGTTGAGTGGCGTGACGCTTGGCTTTCCAAGTGGGCGCTTCACTAAACAATTAAAGTTGCTAGTATATGGCTATAATTGGCGACCACATACATTTTTTGATTTCATCGCAGAGCGGCGGGTCGTCGGGCCTGCCCGGCCGACACTGTACTAGGAGTTAATATTGTAAGAATTTGGTTGGAATTGCTGACTCCATGCATTTTCAATCTTCATTTTTTTCCGGCTACATGTCTGGCGTAATACCGATGCGTAGAAAGTAGGAAGCTAACCTACTTCAGATATTTAAAGTCATATTACGCAGTAGGTATCCTCAATCTGAGTGGTGTATTGAGTTAAAGGGTTGAGTTTCCGTAACTCTGTTATGGAAAGGTGCAGAGGAAGATGTTGTACACCGCGATATTAATGCTCAAAGCATCTTCTTCTACTTTTGGGTCCATTGTGTTTAATCTTTCTCATGGACTAGAGCCTCAGCGTCGACCTTGCCGTGGCTTGGGAACGAGGTTGAGGTGCCGTCTTCATCAGACTCTGCTTCGTCCGAAGTTATGTTCTATGGAGTCGTGCGTTTGGAATATTTGATATCTGTTTGGCTATTGATTATCGATCATTGATCGATGGTCTAATTATTGGATCTCTCTTTTCTTTTCTTTCTTCTCTTTTCTTTTTCTTTTCTTTTCGATTTTCTTTATTCTTTTATTTTTATTTGTGTTATTCCTTTGTATTTCCACACTTGAGTGGCGGATCAATTTTACATGATGGGCTTAATGGGTGTATTTGGTATCGACGTTGTATACATTTCGAGCACTTTATAGCACTGATAGACTCCTTCTCCTCCGTTTCCCTGTTCCCGTCCTAGTCGATGTTTTTACTCAGCGTGGCTCTATCTAAGTTCGTAGGCGTCCTCTGTACCACCGTGGACAACGATTACAGAGTGCGACCTGGGTATGATGGTTAAAGTTGTCGCCTCCACTGAAGCGAGCAACTGGTTGGACCACCCGCGAGCTATCGAGGCAGTTATCGGTATTGGCATCAGCTTGTGCGCCTTTTCCTTTATCGTTGGGCGCATGTACCCGAGAAGCCGAGGCGGGAAGACCGGCAGTCGACGCGGCAAGTGGTCTAACTGCGGCCGGTACTGGATAGAGGGAGCGAATAATAATCTATATGTGCAACACCAAGCTGGAACAAGCATACCATATTCGGCGATTCCGGCCCCGATCTCGAACCCGGCTCCTCCAGGCGTTCCATATTACGCTGGAGGAACGGTTCACCCACCACCGGGTGTGCAAGTACCATCTATGCCATCTGCCCCGGCAGCAACACCTGTTCAGTACCATCCTGCACTCAACCAGTGGAACTCGCAACCATGGGGTACACCTCATCAGCAGTCCGTGGCATGTCAAGGGAATGCACCTTGGATTGGGAATCCACCCCAGTTCGTAGTGGCTGCGCAAGCACCGGTTCAAACGCCTGTTCCAATGACACTGCCACAACAGCCCCCTGCTGCACACTTGAATCCTCAAGGGTTCCATGGCGGGCATGGCGGTAGCTCCGCATCAAGTGGAGGAGGTAAAGGCCCGACGGCTAATAATTTCCCTGGACCAGGAAATCGGGCCTACTTTACCAAGGAATACATGGAGATTTTGGAGAACATCAAGTTTAGTAAGGCCATTGAAGAAGCGAGGAAGAAGGTTGGAGTGCCACGGATCAGCGTTGCGAAGCGGAGCAGTTCCCGGGCTTCGGAGTCCCAAGATGAAGGGAACAGAGATGACGCACGCTCATCAGAGAAGAACGAGGACATGAAAGCTTGGGTTACCACTACACTTGGTGAATCACTGAAGCTCATAAATGCGAAATTGGAGGCAGTGGACAAGAAATCGAAATTGGATACGGCGGAGCGTGATGAGTTGGAACGCCTCCGGAAGGAGGTACAAGGAGGTAAGGACAACAAGGAGCTCTCTAGTAGTGAGAAACGGAAGTGGGGTGTTGTTCACACCCCAGGGGAGAACTCCCCATCCGCCGCTCGTGCAAAACCAAGGTCCAAAGGCTGCGCGAAGACCAAGCCGAAGCGCATCGAACTCTCCGATGACGAAGGTCCTTCTGGTACCAAACAGAATCTGCAAGCTAAGTTGGAAAGCACAAGCAGTGAGTTGTCTGATATAAAACGAATGCTCGCGTCGCTGATGAGTGGCCTGCAAGATCCGAAAGGGAAGGCTAAAGTCGTTCACCCCGGGACTACTAACGAATGCCCGGTTGGTATGGGCCCTGGCGCGACCAAAGTCGTACAGAACGCCCAAGCGGAGGGTGATGACAAAGACCCCGATGATGACGGGTTTGCAGCGTACATGAAGGTGCGAGCCGAGTTCTACGGCTCTCTTCACTACACACGTGTGCAGGAGCTGTGTAAAGAACGTGAAGTCGAGTACTTCAAGAAGGACGTTGCTGTGTGGGAGCTCGCTCAACAAGACCTGCAGGATTACGCCGACTCATTGAAAGAGGATCGGGGTGAGAAATCACGCCGGAAGGAGACTTCAGCTGAATCAGACCACGACGACGTCGAGGAAGATCGTGACACTGTAAAGGAAAACTAAGCTTGGGTAGTATCAGATCTATTAGGCGGGCAGATTAGCAACGCGAAAAAGACTGTTGATCCTTCGCTGCTCTGCCTACTAGAACGCATTCAAGTTCTTCTTACTATCCTTGCTTGTCTAAAGGGATTCGTGCGATGGGGGCTAACGTACGTCCGATTTTGGCTATGCCTAAACCGTGATGAATGGAATAGGTTGGTCGATGGTTGCAGCTGCGTTTATGTTCTGCTTTCGGTAAACCATAAACTAGTGTATGTTGGCAAGAGTGCCAGATCGCTTCGAGAACGATGCTCCGAACACTGTCGCGCCGTACGTGGTAACAGTAAGCAGAAGGTTCACTCTTGGTTTCAAAACATTGGTCTCGAATCGTACATCCCTATACCAATCTGGTTTGGGGATGAACCTGTGATCGAATGCATGGAGCAAGCCATTATAAAGAGTGCGAACCCTGGTTTGAATTCGCGGGGTACCGCGAAACGACGGCAGCCACGTAGATCACACGGGAAGCGTACTCGTATGCCTTTAACCTCGACCGATGTTTTGGAACCCTTAGTGTTCTCTTGTACGAATGTGGATGTGAAGAATGAACCTGATTTGCTTCATGTCCTAAAGGCATTGGTTAAAAAGAGGGCTACAAAATATGTGACCGTAACTAACAACACAGGCGGGCGATAGATGAAAGCATGGCGCTTGGTGTCTCTGTTATTTGGGCACAGTAAGGTGAAATTTGATGATGAAAACTTGCTGCTCAAAGATGCTAAGTCTGCAATTGAAAGGTGTGGGAAATGGACTATCACCCAACTCACTCAAACACAAACGAAAACAGACATTAACAAAGCTGAGGTCATTTCACTTCTCCGGGCCCCCTGGAAAAGGAAAGACCTTGTCAAGCGCAACCTCATCGATATTCTCGAATTGGATGCCGCGGTCAAAAATATCAATCAAGCCCGCGGTCGACAAATAGTTCGTGGTATCTTAACGAATGTCTGTAAAAAGAAGTTTTGTATTAACCTCCGTGCTAAGATTATTGCAAAAATTCCCTTTTGTACGACCATTGATAAGAAGAAGGTGGAAAGTTGTCTGAAGCTCTGGATTAAGGAGAACGTCCAGCGTACTCCGCTAACTGACCTGTATGCGAAAAAAACTTGTGCGGTTTGGTTGAAAGCCAAGTCAGTAGGATATTTGTTGCATAACCATAAGCTCTTTGCACAACAAAACACCTTTGAGTGCGTGTGCGAGAACTTCGACTTGCCCAAAATCAATGGACATGTCGCGGTCAAAATTAGCGAAGTAAGTGGCTTGGACCTATTCCTATCCAATGCTAAGAATACCCCTTTTCCCGGGACCACCACATCTCGGGATAGCCTCAATCAAGCCTGCAATGAGGCATAGGATACGGTATAACTAATCAGTTTTGCATACCTCTTGGTTCGGTTATAAAAAAGGGCGAGGCTAAGCCCTGTGGATGTATCCTTAGTGAGTATGTCCTGGGGGTAAAGCAAGCATTCGCGGGATTGGTTTTGGCCCCGCTGGACCGTAACACCTGCGAAACCTGGATTGAGTGTCCCAAACGGTATGAAACAGGACTACAATTAATGTTTCTGAATAATTCGAATTATGAAATTATGGACTCTGAAAAAAGTCGTATCTTGTGTGACACTCGAACCAAATACATCGAGCAAGGCTTGGGACAGATCGCAACATGGGACGGGCGGGGAAAACTGCAGTATGCCTATATTATGGCCAAGGAAAAGGACAAAGAGAAAAGAAGACCTATCATTCCTTCATTCCAAAGCTCTTTTCGTGCTGCGTCCAGTGTCCTATCCCTGATCTTGAACTGTTTGATTCGTAAGGTTAAGGTACAACATTTTAACCTCAGATCGTTGGGAGACCATCCACAGACGATTGTCGGTATCAATAAGAAAGACGGACCTATGTCTAAGTGTGGAGTTATTGCCTGCACGTATGACATAAAAGAAATGTTTACCCAACTACCCCATGAGGTTATTTATCGCGCATTACAATGGATTACTGAGTGTTTCGTGCAAAAAGGTATAGTCTGGATCCGACTCAACACAAGAAAAAAACTGACTACCTTTGGGAAATCCCATGGTGAGGCCGGATAGAAATCTGTCCGACTCTCCTCCCTGATTTCGCTTATTCAGTTCCAGATGGAACACACTGTATTCTTGGTTTCTACTGCCACCCTACGCCAAAAGAAAGGCATTCCAATGGGCGGGAGGGCAAGTCCGTCATTAGCCTGTGTGATGTGCATCTACTCTGAGTACAACTTTATCTCGACTTTAGGCACCGACGCTAAGTTCATCTCTGGGAAAAGGTATGTCGACGATCTGTTGTTTTTTCATTCTTCGATAAAAACAATCCCGCGGGAATGGAGATTGCAAATAACCATCTTGACAAAATCATGCATTGCTATCCTAAGGAAGTGAGTTTGGAAAGAACTGATTCCGACTCAGGTATCCTCAACTTTCTGGAAACACAGATGATTGTGGCCGATGATGATAAAACCGTGATCGTGGCTCACAAATTTAAAAACCGGGAGTCAATTTGGGGACCGGGTGACCTACAGTTTCAGACCTAAGCATCCTGCTTCTTTTGGGCCAAAAACTGCCAAATTTGCTACTATAGCAAACACCATCCTCCGAATCTCTGAGAACTGTAGTGATATGGGTATGACCTGTCTCAGCATCCTCACACTGGCAGTTGAAATCAACAAACTTGGGTATGACAACAATATGGTCCTATCTGGACTCAGATGGATGCAGCGACGCGATGGCAATAACCCCTTTTGGGCCCAGATGCAGGAGATAGTGAAAAGCATCTGAGCTATAGGTGACTTCCCGCAATTTTTGTAACTCTGCGGGGCGATCTACAGACGGGGACTGGTCTCCACGGTACCTACCGGATAACGTTCCATGCATGGAGAACTGCTGGCAGGCACGCTCCGACTGCTATCACAATTTTGAGATGTATCTATCGATCTCCTTGGCCATATTCATCCAGTTGGTTTGTATTTACCTAGACACGTACGTCTAGGCAACTGGGCAGATTCAGGAGGGCCAATATATCGGCGATCACCAGTCCGATCTACTGTGGATTGAGTTTTTAACTTTGTCGATGGAAACAAATTTACGGCGACGGCTCACCACGATTACCTTCAGGGTACCATCCACGCAGGGAGTTTTTGAGACGTATCTATCGATCTTCGCGGCCACATTCATCTGGTCGGTTTTGGATCGGCGTAGACACGTTTTGGATCGGCGTAGACACGTTCTGGGAACTATGCGGGAAAACATCTCTCTCTACAAGTAAGATGCTTCATTCCCGCTACGTTCTGAACTACTGCAACCTGCAAATCGGCTTCACCATGATGGTTTTTTTTGTAAACTAGCATAGCGATGGAAACTACGAGCTCTTATTTTTGCCTAAAAAAACGGGGGGAAGGTGGTGGGCGGGATGATGGCATGGTATGGACAATAGTGGGGAGTGGGGCATGGTATAGAGCGGTACCGTTAGAGCATTATCATCATAGGGCAGGGAAAAAGGGAGAAGAACCCTAGAAAGGTCGAGGGAAGGGTAAACAACGACAATTTGAAAAAAGGATCGTGTGTGACATATACAAATAAAAATTTGAGATGACTATGAAATCGTTCCAACTGATGCGGGCAGATTGAAGCGGCATGTGGTCCGTGTGGGGAAGAATAGGCAGATGAGAGAGGTTTTAATTTTTAATTTTTTTTGCTTTTTTAATATTTTGCTTTTTTTTATGGTAAGACGTTTTTTTCTGAGGGGTATGTAAATTGACCGATGGAACATGAGGCATGATAGTGTTGATCTGACTGTGATCATGAAACCGGTAAGTCTTCAATTCTACAAAGGATAGGTTATTGAGTAAAGAATGCACATCGACTGGCAGATATGGTATTAATTAAAAAAAAAAAGTAAGACCAAGGACAAGGTATCGAACTGATCCGCTACGGTCTACCTATGCCGTCCAAACATGAGTAACAGAGGAATAGGGTGCACCGGCGTGCAGGAGAACTCGAAGGGATCAGGCCATATTTGTGGCTGGATTCACACACAAAAAAAGGGGGCGGAGATAATGTTAGCATGAGTACACAGATGAGAGAGGTAGAGGCTGTACCAATAGCAAGAAGGTAGGTATAATGTTACAGATGAAAATGTACAGCATTACAATGATTGTTTTACAACTACAAGCACGCATGTTCTAGAGAAAGGGTGACGCTGAGAGATAGATGGATAGATAGATAGATAGATAGATAGATAGATAGATAGATAGATAGAGAGAGAGAGAGAGAGAGTCACGAAAGCGTCTTGCTCACCACTCTCTAAATGCAAAAAATGAGAATTAATCTTCCCTTAGATTGTGGGAACATACATCGTGTCGTTTGTCTACGACATATCACATGCACAAAGGATTAGATTTATAGCAAGATTACTTTTTTGGGGGGGGAGCAACGAAGGAACACCCTGACAGGTGAAGTTTTTTTTTTATCTTAGTTATTTCTATTATTTAACTCCTTTTTTTTTTCATAATCCCTTCTTTTTTATTGGATTTGACGAGCGGCCAGAAATTGAATATACCTGTCTGCGATAACAGTGTCAGTTCGTACAAAGAAGATGAACGCAATTACATGAAAAAACAGCGGGCATAACATTAAAGAAGTGTGCAAGAGAGAGAGAGAGAGAGAGAGAGAGAGAGAGAGAGAGAGACTTCCAGCCATGCATGCAGAGAGATAGGGAGAAGCTACTTCCATAGATAGGATGAGCAAAATCGGAATGAACTTTATACTAGAACATGGAAATATACACTGCTTTCCAGCCATGCGCGCAAAACGATAGAGAGAGGCTACTTCAATCGATAGGATGAGCAAAATCGAATGAATCTTTCGCTCTGTGTGTGTATGTGTGTGTGTGTGCGTGTGTGTGTGTGTGTGTGTGTGTGTGTGTGCGTGTGTGTGTGTGTGTGTGTGTGTGTGAGAGAGAGAGAGAGAGAGAGAGAGAGAGAGAG